GGAGGTGGAAGCGTGGAGCTGCTGAAGCAGATGGTGTCCAAGGGCTTCCTCGGTGAGTAGCCTCCAGGGAACATGACCCGTGACCTCGCACTGAGTTCTGAGCAGTTTCCAGAGCCCAGGGAATTGCTGAGTGCCCGTGCAGAAGAGTACTTCCTAAACCTAGAACCCACTGTGACAGGGAATTTCAAAAATGATTTCATGAAAACCTCTTCTTAGGCTGGGCCTGCAGACTTTGGACCAAAGGCAGAGCTCTAGCCCTCTGGGGCTGTGCCATCCCCAGCCCACATCATGCAAGACTGACAGGTGTTTTCTCCTTCCCGAGACCTTTCGTATATCTCTGATACTTGAGGAGCAAGCCCTGTGGCCAGGCTTTATCTGCTGTCTGGCCACCCGTGTGAAAAGCAAAACCTTTCAACACAGAATACAATGAGGCCCACTTGAGAGGTAGCTTTCTGTCTTGGCAAAGTGGCACAAAATCAACACTCAGGCCTGGGCATTAAAACTCACCCAAGTGCTCCTTTCTCATCCAGATACACAGATCTCCAATCTCCAGGAGACACAAGAGCATAAAGGCTCAATTTCTAAGGTTAGCTAGATAAACACATTCAGGAATACAAAATACAAAAGCAGCTAGAGCTCTATACAAGACCAGCAGAGGAGAGAATTCTCAGTCGAGGGCTGAGAACTTGAACTGTCCCTTTTACTGCTTCTTTTAGGTCGCAAATCTGGGAAGGGCTTTTACATCTATGAGAAGGGCGTGAAGAGTAAGAATTTGAATTCTGACATGGATAGTATTTTGGCAAGTCTGAAGGTGCCTCCCAAGCCTGATGTGTAAGTCATTTGGGATAGCTAACGGCATGGAAACAGCCGCATCTCGGGTGGCGTGAGGCTTCTTTGCTGTGATCACCATCCCTGAGCAGAAAGAAATTCCCGACGCTGGCAGAGCGCTATACCCTTTGAGCCCTTCCCCATCACTCCCCCTCCTCTGCCAGAAGGTGAGAACTGCAGTTGAGCCTTGCTCACCCCTCGCTGTGAGGGTCCCAGAGAGCAGCTGGAAAGGCAGATTGTCTCAGGCCCTCCACCTTCCCAAATCCTTTATCATCATTTGTAAGCAGGCGACAATTGCGAAGGTCAAGAAACATTTATTGATTACCTACTCCCTGCCAAGCTCTGTTGTTCTAGGTGCTGGTTCATGTTCGTTAGGGCCAGTGACTATGCTGAGGGAAAGCGGGGACTCCCAGAGAGGGTCTTCTCGGCAGAGGCGGAGGGTCAGTGCTACCTGTCCTTGGAGCTCTGCCACACCAACCTCTCATCCCATTCTGCGCATGCAGCTTCTGCCCTCCTCCCCTTTCACTCTTCTGTACCTGATGTCTCTTCTGTTGACAGCTCCTCTGATGAGGACGTTCAGTACCGCCTGGTAACAAGGTTTGTGAATGAGGCTGTCATGTGTCTGCAAGAAGGGATCTTGGCCACACCTGCCGAGGGAGACATCGGAGCTGTCTTTGGGCTGGGCTTCCCCCCTTGTCTTGGAGGTTGGTCTTACAAATCGGGCTTTTAGCTTGCTTTATCTCAGAGCTTGTGTTGCTCTCTTCTTCAACCAAGTCCTGTTTCTCCATGCAGGGCCCTTCCGCTTTGTGGATCTGTACGGTGCTCAGAAGGTAGTGGACAGGCTCAGGAAGTATGAGGCTGCCTACGGCAAACAGTTTAGCCCATGCCAGCTGCTAATTGACCACGCTAACAGCCCCAACAAGAAGTTTTACCAGTGAGCCGCTTCATGCTGCTCAGTAAGCCCACTCATCCCAGCTGCAGGCAGCGCTGGTCCTCTAACAGAGTGGTGTCGAGATTCATCAGCTACCAGAAGGAAGACAAACTCAGGCATCGGATTTGCTCCGATTAAAGTGCCTTCAGTTGACTGTCTCCTGTCCTGTGAAGTCTGACTGTCGATTGGATTTTGCACTTCATGTTGGAAACTAGACCTTCTGTGCTTTATGATTTTATAAGGCCCAGGGTGACTGCATCTTTGGAGCCATCTTTGCTGGCTGTTCCTACCCAGGAGGCTGATGGTGGTGAGGGCAGCTTTGCACTCAGCTGAACACATGGTAACAATAAAAACTAAACTCTTTTATCAGCCTCTGCCTGTTTGCTCCTTTTTCTTCTATCTTTGCCCGTCCAGTTTAAACTCCTCTTTTAAGAAGTGAGCTGGAATAAAGCCCTGTATTTTTGGGGTAAGAACATGCTGAGAGAATTCTAGGTGGCAAATTAAAAGAAGGACTGTGATGATAGGAAGTGGAACTTTATGAGCCTAAAGTTAAACGCTTTGGCTGAGCTTCTGCCTAAAGCAACAGAAATGTAGTAGGTACAGCATAAACCCAAACCCGTTGTCATCGAGTTGATTCCAACTTAAAGTGACTCCCTGTGTTACAGAGTAGGACTGCTCCATAGGGTTTCCTGGGCTGTAATCTTTACAGAAGCAGATCTCCAGGGCTTTCTTCCACAGCACTGCTGGCTATGCTCAAACCACCAACCTTTAGGTTAGTAGTTTAGGGCAAACACTTTGCATCACCCAGGGACCTTCAGGTATCATCGCATACCAGGGTATAAAAAATACTTCTTTTCCCAAACTGGATTTCCTCATGGCATGATTTTACCCAGTCTTTTCTTGGTGTGACTCATAGGTGGTGCACACACGCTCATCAGAATGTTTGTGGGTATGTTGGAGTTAAGCAGAGGAGGTAACATGACCCTGATGTTCACTATATCCTGTACCTCTTTGCTGCCCCAGAGCATGGAAAGTGGGTCTAAAGTCACTAGTTCTGCCTCCACAGTGACCATATGAGCAGTCCAGGCAACGCTGATGTGACCCACCTCCACCGCCCGGCCTTGGCCCTTCCCTGCCCCGCCTGCGCCCTCCTGGTGTGGAGAGTTCCTACCCTGTGGTCTGTGCTCGGTCTGGGGAAACAGTGCTGGGGTTCTTAACTGGGCCTGCGAAGGAGCCACTGGATGTGTACAGAATCGTAACTTAAGGCCCGTCACACTTCATGCATTCTCAACTTTCAGATACTTCCAATCCTTCCTGCCTCTGCTCCGCTGCAGAACTACAAATATTTTCGATTCCAGCTCTGTTGTTGGGACTGGCAGGCATGTTGCTTAGCGCTGGCTCTAATAAACACTGACAGTTGCTAGGAAGCCAGACCCTCAAACCAAGTTATCTCTGAGTTGGGGTTTTCAGATGACGAGTAGGAGATAGAGAACTGATTCCCTGCCCTGAACCTACCCTCAGGCATGGAAGTGTGGGATCTGAGAGCCTCAAGGCAGGCATCCTGCCAGGGCTGGGAAGGCAGCTTGGGCCCTAGCTGGTGCCATTGTGCTCGGAAGTCTAGGTTTTTCCATCCAGCAGCACTAGGTGGCTGTGGATTCTGCTGCAACATGAGTGAGAGCTGGAGGGTTCTTGTTGGGTAGGGACAGGTGAGGGGCTTTCAGAGGGCAAGGAAGGCTGGCACTTCAGCTGCTTCCAGGGACATGAATGGGCCGTGTGCACAACCATTCTAAAGTCCTCTCCTGTCCAGCGGCACAGACATCGTGCCTGTTGGTCCCCATGGTCCTTCACAAGAAAGAGCGGTTGACACCCAGAACCCCACTTGCATTATTCATCCGTGGTCTAGCATTTATTTCACTATCCATGAGGAGTTACTAAGTCATCTGCAGGAAAACCACAGGTCTCAGCTCCTCTGTTTTGTGCTCTTCCGCCGGCTGCCCTCCCTCAGCTGAGGCAGCCTGCTCAGGGCACGGCACCAGCGTGGCTTTGCTGCTCTAAAGACAAAAACACTGAGGACATAAGTATCTATGTCGACTAGGTAAGACAGAAGAGAAGGCTGGTACCTCAGGGCCCTGACACTAGTGGGCATGAAGAGAATTAGCGTGGCTCTGGTTAGTGAGAGCAGGTGGTAGTGGTGTGGGTGGGCGGGTGGTTGTTCACAAGACGGAAGCGCTGGGCGGCAAGCAGACCACCATGCTCAAGATCCATGTAAACATGCGCAGGACAAGTGAGCTCCATGAGGGGGATAAAAGGTCGGCTTTCCCAAGCCACACCCACCTGTGCCAGTGACAAAAAAAGCAAACCTGGAAGGGTACCACGTGTTCATCAGTCCAACCATGAGGGCAGGAGAATGGCGAAGAGGGAGGGATTGGATACCACTCCCCTCTAGAATCAAGGAGCAGCTGACCTCAACAGAGTCTGGACACAACCCAACCTCAGAGGCTGAACAACCAACTGCAGAGCCAGAGAAGGAGCCGGGCACTCTAGACTCCAGGGAGCACCTGCCTCCCTAACTTGATAAGCAGGTCAAGGGCAGAGCTGTGCTTTCCAAAGTCGTCACCCACAACCAGAACCCTGAGGCAGAGCCTCTCAGGTGCTGGGCTGATGGTTGTGCTGGATGCACCTACACTTGGCCCGGAAGCCTCAGTCAGGGTAGAACTGATGAGGAAAGAAGGGCATCCCATGTACAGACGTGGGCTCCTCTGACTCTGGGCAGCTTAGGCCCAAAGTCCACAGAGCACAGAGAGAGGGCATCTGGGGAATTTGTGCTTCAGTTACAGACCATCCTTTCCTTGTCTCTAACCTGAACCTACAAGCTTGAGAAGTGCAAGATGTCTGTGAAGTTCTGCAGCAGGGCTTGAAGGCCAGCTACCCGCCCTACAGGAATTGCAGCAAGTGCCTCACCAGGCCCAGGTGGACACTGGTGCCTCCAGCCCCCTCACCCTCTACTCTGCACACTCAGAAGGCAAGACGTCCCTGTGCTGAGGGGTCTGATCCCAGAGGCCCACATCCCCAAGTGTGTCTCCCCTGGATTCACTCTGTGTGGCTGCCTAGCAGCCTCAGTCCTGGCATGGATTCCTCCTGCAGGCAGGACCGCCAGCCACTCAGGGAGTGCCGTCCCTAGCAGGCGCATGCTGTGCCCCAGGGCCCCCGCACCAGCCTTCCAGTCATGCAGCTAGGCAGCTCAGATCTTGGGCCGCCAGCCTTTGATGAACTGCATGATCTTCTTGACTTGCAGCTTGGTGAGGTGGAAGTCGTCTGCCAGGATGTCCTCGCTGAGCTGCACAAAGATGCTACCATCGATGCGTTCTCGGGCAAAGAAGCTCACCACGTCCTCTGAGAGCCCAATGAAACGCAGGCTGCGAGAGACCTCCTCCAGGGAGAGCGCAGACAGGTCCGTGGGGGGCTGCCAGGAGGAGGCATCCCGGCCTCCCCAGCCTGCAACTCCATCCCCGGGACTGGCAGGAGGCCCTTCCAGGCGCCCCTGGGTGAGAAAGAGTCGTGCCCCACCTCCCTCAGGCCCCTGCAGGGCAGCTGGTGACAGTGGGGTGGGGACCTGCCGCAGCACCAGACCTTCAGGCTCAAAGGCCTTGGGGGGACCAAGGGGTGAAAGGCAGGGTCCAGGCCCAGGTGCTCCTACAGCTCTGGGCTCTTGATAGCGCAGCAGCTCGGGCTCTGGAGAACCGCCCTGCCCCAGCTCAAAGGGATCAAAGGGCTCCAGGGCTGGTTCCTGCCACTCAGAGGAGGAGGAGGAGGAGATGGGGCAGGAGGAAGTGGGAGCAGCTGAGTAGGCCTGGCCTGGAGAGGCTGGGCCTGGAGAATAAGCAGGGCTCGAGGTAGCCAGGGCACCCGAGGTGGTCGTGGGCCCAGAAGAGGAGGTGGCTGAAGGGCCTGAGGGGTACGCAGGCCCAGAAAAGGGGTTGAGAGCTCCAAATGGAGCAAAGCGTTTTTGGGGGTGGGAGGGCTTGAACAGAGGCGGGCAGCTATGGTATGTCTTGACAGGGGTGTCAGTCCCCAAGACGGAGGCAGCTCGACTGCTCAGGGGCTCAGTGTGGGCCCAGGAAGCTTGGCTGGGCTGTGTGGTAGAGGGCAGGGGTCCTGAGGTCGGGCGGCTTGAGGACTCGCCCACCTTACAGTCCCCCCAGGTGCAAGGGTAGCAGTAGAGAGAGTATGCGTCCGGGGATGGGGAGCCGCTACCACTGTGGGAGCCTGCCCTGTGGGCAGAGACAGACACACACAGGCAGGAGGTAAGACAGAGCGAGAGGGAAACGCTCTCCACGCAGTCAACCACCACTCTGATCTCAGAATCCCTGGCCCATAGCCCAGCCCCCGGGGCCTGAGACCCTCTGGGAGTCCCATCCAGTCCTTGTCACTTAGGAAAAAAGGAGACATAAGCAGGAAGGAGGCCAAGCAGGCCCCCGACTCCCAGACAGCAGTGCCCTCTCCCCTGCCTACTGCACTGGGACCCTCCCTCTGCCCTTCCCAGGCCCAAAGCCTTCTTCTTCCTCAGCACCGCTCCCTACCTCATCCCCTGCCGCAACCCACCTTAGAAGGACACGGGACCATGAGAAGGAAGGGACTCACCCATCCTGAAGGCCAGAAGAGTAGTAGGAGAGGCTAGAGCCGGATGAGTGGACAGGCTGCAGCTTGGGAAAGTGCAGAGGCACAGGGGGGCTGCCCGAGAGCCGGCCCCTGCCGCTGCCACCCCGGGGAGGGACAGGCGGGGCATTAAGCAGGCGGCACTCCTCCTTCACCTGCAAGCAGAGAGCAAAGCAGGATCAATGAGGTAGGCAGGAGCCCTGACACCACCCCTGAACTTGGCAGCAACATTCCTTACCTTCCCTTTCCCAAGCAGCTGGGTAAGGAGGGGGTCTGGGCAACCAAGGGCTGCCTCGCCCTACACCCTAACAGCTCACCTAGCCACCTGCCACCCTCTACCCTTTCTTGCCTCTCCAGCCTGCTTCACTCACCAAGAGCCCACAACACACACTGTCTTCTATTCCCTTGGAAATTCATCATGAATGTAAAAAAAGAATATAGAAGTACTGATCCAATACAATCAGACAAGTACACATATTCCTGCCTCAAGAAAAAGGAGAGAAAGAAGTGGAAAAGGGTGTGACAGGACAGAAAAAGAAGGAAAGTATCCACCATCTGGACCCCTTCCTTAGAGGTCAAAATTCCCCAAAGTGGACTCCATGGGGTGCTAATAGGTGTTATGTGGCAGGGGGAAATGTCCTGTGGACAAATAAATTTGGGAAATTATGCATTTAACAAAACCGAACAGATTTCCCTGGTGCAGAACTTCTCAGAGCTTTCAGTATACCAATGCTCTGTGACCAAGGTGAAGACAAGAGAGGGCTAGCAATCGTATATAACAGCTTCTCAACTTATTTCACCAAGGAACCTTCTTTTCACTGGACAACTCAAAAAACTCCTGTAGAATCTTCTGGGCAATACTGTTCTAGCCTCATCCCAAGTTCTCTGAGGCCGGGAACCTACTTTTCATCTTTGTCGCACAATTCCTGATGCCACCATCCCTAGAATCCACCACCACCAATGTTCTTGCGTGTCTTCCCCCACATCTCTACCATCCTCTGTCACCCACACCAGGGGTTGGAGGTTGGGATGTCAAGGCTGGGTCCCGGAGAACTAGCTTTTCAGGGCCAACTATGTCCCTTGGCTGAGCAGCCTCCCTAAAGAGTCAAAAGGGCTCAACTCCCCGGCTCCCACCCTTTGCCTCAACCGCATCCACTCACCGCCTCGGATTTGGGAGGGACGGGAGGCGGTGGCGCCTGGGGCTCCAGGCAGGGTGGGCCGTTGGCCCCGAAGGAGATGAGGTCGGGCCCTGGGGGCGGCCTGGCCCTGCCCTCAGCGAGGCTCTCGGCCGCCTGGTGAGTCCACAGCTCCTCGTAGGGGATCTCAGGGGGCAGCGCAGCAGGCTCGGTCGCAGCCCAGTCGGGGCTCACGTACTCCTGGTCGCCGTCGCTGGCGGGCAGGTGCAAACCGAGGAGAGCAGGCATCCGGGCAGGGGCGGGGACGCGCGGCGCGGCCAGGCAGAGGCGCGCGCGGCGCGGGCTGGCGCAGTCGTCGGCGAGCTCGGTGGGCGCCTCGCGCACAGCGGTTGAGTACTCGTCCGGGTCGAAGCGCTCGCGGCAGTAGGAGGCGCTGTCTCGCACCAGGCGCTCGACGCGTGGGTCCCCGGCCAGCAAGCCCTGCGGCAGCGCGAAGCGCGGCGTGTCGGTGAGTAGCAGGAAGTGCAGCGGCGCCGGGCCCTCGCGGCGCAGCGCCAGCCCCAGCACCACGGTCTTGGAGATGATGCTGACGAGCTTGTAGCAGTGGCCCTCGCGCACCGGGTGCAGGTCGTAGGGGTTGCGAGGCGGCCGGCTGGGCACCAGCACGTTCACCGGAAGCCGCACGCGCTCGATGATGGCGCGCACCGTGTGCTCGCCCTCCTGCATCTGCAGCTCCAGCGGGCTGCGCGTGCTGAAGCGGCCCTGGCACTGGAAGGGCAGGCTCAGGCTCTCGTTGGTGCGGTGGTTCATGCAAATGAGGCAGGGCATCTTGCCTTTCATGGGCCTGGCGCCCCCGCCGGCGCCCGCTCCCCCTGGGCCGCCGCCGGCCACCCCGGCCAGCGCCCCGGCCCGGCCCAGCTTGCGCAGGAGAGTGGTAAAGCGCGAGCGCTCCTTGGTGGTCTTGGCGCACAGAATCTCGGCCTGGCCCATGAGGGTGAGCTCGTCGCCTGCGTGCAGCGTAAAGTTGTACACCTCGCTGTCCTCACTGAACTCGCCTGACACCACCTGGGAATCCCAGAAACGAAGGCCTGAGCCAGGGCTCCGAGGAAAGCCACGCAGCCAGCCAGGCAGGGCCCCGGGTTGGGGTCAGGAGCCCCACGGTCTATCCTGAGAGGTCTAACCTTGAGTTAGTTGCCCTGATGGGCTTTAGTTACCTCACGTAATATTCCTACTTGGAAGAGCTGATTTAAAGATTAAATCGCTGAATATATATACAGTGACATACTTTAAAAGTACTCAATAAAAAGCAACTTTTCTTATCGTTTTCTTTAAAATGGGGATAATAATGCCCCACCCACCCAACAAGGCTACTGTGACAAGAAAGGAACTGATGGATAACAAAGGATTTGTAAACAGGCTCTATCTGCACAAGCGCGGAATTGTTTGCACTGCATGCTTCCCCACAACCACCGTCTCCGCCAGCGGATGCTAGGAGAGCAAGGATGCTAGGACAGGCTGCCCTGAAAGGTCCCAAAGTCAGGGATGACCTTCCACACACACACTTCCTCCGGCTTCACCACCTTTTGCAGGGAGTTCTCCAGCCTGGTGGGTCATCTCCTCTGACATGGTCCAACTATGCCAAAGGCCCTCAAGGGGTCACCAGAAGCCACAGTGGACACCTCTCCTTCCAGGACCATAAAGATTCCCTCCAACTGGGGTCGGGGTTGCTCCTGAGGGGCGGGGTGAGGGCAGCATGCCTGGTGTGGGAAAGACTGACCTTGACACTGAAGGTGATGGCTTCCATCACAAAGATGCGGTCAGGGAAGACGCTGGCCACTTCCTCCACGCTGCTGAAGTACCTCACCGGCTCCCGCACATCCCGGGCCTGCTCCAGGAGCTTGAACTTCCCTGCACAGGGGGATGCAGGCCGCTGGGACGGGTGTGCCTGCTGGGAGCCTGGCCTGCATCCTGAGAGCCCTCATGGTTCCTCCTTCTTGCTGCTGTCACTCAGCCAGCTCCTCTAGAACTCAGGTGGGCAGAGGTCTGCACTAGCATGAGGTGGAGGGGGCTGCTCATGTGGCTTAAGGCTTAGTGAGGGGGCAAGCACAGGTCTCTGGCAACTGGAACACAGCCCTCCCCCCATGCAGAGCTGTGGGTGAGAGCAGTGGCTGCCTGCCCAGAGAAACCCAACTGCAAACTGGCCCCGAACACCTGGACACAGAGCTGGCCTCTGACAGAAGCATCAGTATGGCCTTGGGGATGCTGGCTCATAGCTTAGTCCCAGCTGGCCACTGGCTTGCTGTGACCCTGGCCACATCGCTCCCCTTTCTGGGCCTCTGGCTCTTCATCTAAGGAGCTGGAGCTGACAATCCTGGGACTGCATCCTGTGCACGCACCCTGGGGTGTCGCTCTACACCAACGGCCAGACCAGGGGCCCAGCCCCAAGCCTTGGAGGCCTTCGGAGTGCCGCTCTGACCCTAGCTTGGTTTCCAGGCCCTCCTCTGTTCCAATGTCTGGTCCCATGTCTGAGAGGCCTCAGAGCTGGGCCCAGCAAAGCCACCTCCCTCATATGAGGCCTTCCCAAGCTGCATCCAGGGCTTTTTCTGGCTAACTCAGCACATGCCTCCAGGAGACACAGATTTTAAAGAAGTGATGATGCTCAGTGAGGCTGATGCTCCCATGTAAACTGTCACACCTTGTGTGTGCCCCCTACATGAGCACAGAAGACAAGGCTGTGAACCCCCTGCATCTGGATGGATGGCCTCTTCTCAGAGCTGACATGGACGGAAAAGACACTTTCTGGGTGAGGGAATAAAAAGAGAGAGAAGGAAAGGTGACTCTAGCTTCTGGAGCACTCCCTGTGGTTGCTCCAGTCATAGTTCATCCACTGATTGAGTCCACAAACATTGGTGGAGCACCTACTACATGCCAGATGCTATGCTAGGCCCTACATAGGGTACGATCTGTGTAAAATACAGTCTTCCCTCAAGGAAGTCAAGATATAGTGGGTGAGATGGTAAGTACCCAGTGGTTGCTGGAGGTGACAGGAGCTACAAAAGAGGCACGAAAAAAGAGCTAGGGGGTCACTGAAAAGGGAGACAGACACCTGTCTGGCAGTCAGATGGGATCACTGAACTGCACCTTAAGAATGAAAAGGATTTTACAGAATGGGCATTCCAGTTGGAAGAAATAATGTAAGCAAAGACACAGAGACACAAAGGCAGACTGCATGCCTGGAGTGGGGAGTGTGTGGAGGGGAGTACAGGAGGGGAGGGTAGCAGGGGGTAAGGCAGACAGCAGCTAGGTTGTGGACGGCTTGGAATGCCATGCTAAGGCAGTAGGACGTGTGTATGTGTGTGTGTGTGTGTGTGTGTGTGTGTGTGTCCTTTGCCTGTCATATTATCTGTACCTGACAAAGAATATCCCTTAATAAATGTTTTTTGGATGGATGGGTGGATGGAAGGGAGGGAGAATGAATGGATACATGGATGAACGACTGAATTTTTTTTTTAAATTGTGCTTTCGGTGAAAGTTTACAGCTCAAGTCAATTTCTCATACAAAACCTTTATACACATATGGTATGTGACATTAGTTGCAATCCCCACTACGAGGACTGTATTCTATGGGAAGTGAGACCCATCCGGGAGATACAATGATCCAGGTTGAACTCTATAAAAATCACTGGAAATCCAGTCTGGCAATTAAGCCAGTGATGGAGAAGAGCTGAGGAAGCGACCACGGGAAGAGCAAGAAGTGAACAGACCAAGAGAGACTGGGAGGGAGACGCATCAGCTTGGGTGACTCAATGAGGGGTGGGTGGGGAAGGAAGAAACCAAGGAGGATGTACTCAGGCTACCAGCCTGGGCAGAAGTGGAGACAGCAGAGCTGTTAACCCAAACTAGGGGCCGGGGAAGAACAAGTTGTGGGCAGAGGGAGATCCCAGGGAGGCCCAAGAGGGATCTCCAGGTGATACTGTCCCAGGGAGGCCTGGTCAGGAGGAACAGACTAAAGGTCAAGGCCCATAGGTGGCAGCTTTAGCTGTGGACATGTGAGAAGGATCGGGGAAGAAGAAGGCAGAGTGTCTTAACCCTTGGGGGAGAGCTTCCCAGAAAAATACCCTCACTGTACTCAGATCATGAACACACACATGATTTTGTCAGGTTTGGGGGTTCCTGGAGCCCCCAAAAGGAGCTCTGGTGGCACAGTGGTTAAAGCACTCAGCTGCCAACCAAAAGGTTGGCAGTTCGAACCCACCAGCTGCTCCGTGGGAGAAAGATGTGACAGTCTGCTCCTGTAAAGATTTACAGCCTTGGAAACCCTGTGGGGCAGTTCTACTCTGTCCTATAGGGTCACTATGAGTCGGAATCAACTGAACAGAAACGGGAGCCCCCAAAGCCCAGCCAGGGACCCAGATTAAGGCCCCTCCTGGCGCAGAGAATGAAAAACAGAAGACCAAGGGCTGAGCCTGCAGCATCAACATCTAGGAGCCACAAAAGACAAGGGAAAACATGTAGGAAATATCCTGGAGAAAGCTGGAAGGGGAGCCCCCCAGTCCTGCCCTAACCACCCTGAGACCCTTGTGGGAAGAGGCCTCAGATGTGCCATAGCCTGAGGGGACCTGCAAGGAGTGTCAGTCTGGGAGCAAGGAGCAGGAGTTTCAGACAGTGGGCAGACCCCTCCCTCATGCCACCTTCCCCCCAGCCCACAGCCACACACAAACCCCCCAACACCTCCCAGATGGCGGCTGGGAAGAGTGAGGGGCTGTGTCCCAGCCATGAGCAGCCAGGCAGGGAGAAATACCCCAAGCCCCCTGTGGGGAGAGCTGGAGCTGAGTCAGGGCAGGAATCCGGGAGGATGTGGCCATGAGGATCGATGTAACCGTGGCACCCAGCCCCCTCCCTCTGCCGCAGCCGGAGTCCAGCGCTTGCCATTAAGGTTGGGAAGAAGGAAGAGAGACCTCCCAGGAGCCAGCTCTGGCCCCCTGGAAGCCTCTTCCTCCCCGCAGCCCCGAAGCCAGGCCAGGGGCAGCTTCCTCTCCTGCCTCCCCCTACGTGAGGCCTGAGCTCCCCTCCACTCCAGAGAACAGCCTCGCCCTGGCCTGCCCCTCCTCCCTGTCCTTGACCCCCAGAACATATTTGCACCTGCCTGATTGTCCCTTCTAGCCTGAAGCACTTGAGGGCTAAAGCAGGGTCTCTTTTATAACCCACCCCCCTCAGCACCTGGCCGATAGAAGATGCTCAATAAGGAATGGTGGGTAAAAATACAGGCTTTGGAATCGGACAGACCTGGCTGAATCCCAGCTCTGCCACCAACCAGCTCTGTGACCTTGGGCAAATTATTTAATCTCTGGGCTTCAGTTTTCCCATCTGTAAAATGGAAGCATACTACTTAGCTCACAGAACAGGGCACATATGACAGGTGCTTCCCAGGGCACAAAGCCAATAGTCCAGATGTGGCACCATGCTCAAGGAAGAAGCCTGGGCCCTTCCAGCAGGACCTGTGGGGGGCCTGTTTCAGGGCAGCCAGGTCTCCCCACCTCTCTGAGTGAGGCTAGGGTGGGGCACTCACAGCCTCGCAGCGCCCTACCTCCAACTCCCCACAGGGCGCCACCCTCCCCGCCTTCTTGGGCGGACCATTCTCTCTGCGGTCTGCAGCTGGTCCGCCCCTCCCGCTCAGCTTTCATTATTAATTCATTAGGAGAAATCAGCGTTGGGCAGTGCACTCAGCGCATCCTCGTTAACCTGGCGGTGCCCTGGCCCTTCCCCCTCCTAGGGGGCTTCCACCTTCCCTACCCCACCCAGGCGGGCTGGAGCCACCCACAGGAAAAATGAAGCTAGGGACGCAACACCTCTGCAGACCAACTGTCACCCTATTACCACCACCATACACGTGCACTCGGGGGAACCAAAAGAGACGGAGGAAAAGAGCTAAGAGCTCCCTGGACTCCTAATTCCCTAGGAGACTGTATGCCTTGGTTTCCCTCTCTGTAAAAAGGGGACTTAATCTTCACCAGAGGTCCCTGGGTGATGCAAACTGTTTGTGATGGCCTACTAATTGAAAGGTTGACAATAGGAACCCACCAAGTGGTGTCGTGGAAGAAAGTCCTGGCAATCTGCTTCTGTAAAGATTACAGCCAAGAAAACCCTACAGAGCTCAGTTCTACTCTGTAGCCATGAGTCGGAATCCACTGGAAGGCAACGCGTTTGGTTTTTGGTTTGGTAATCCTCACTAGAGCTTTAATGATACAACTGAAAGGTGGAGTCCCTGAAATCACGCTTCTGTCTGTGAGGCATTTTCCAGCCTTCTCTTTTTTATCCCAAGAAGACCTGGGACCTCTCCCTGGGCCAATGCCAGATTCCCAGGCTGGGAGAGTTCTAGCCTGGAGAAGGCCCTGCCCTACTCCCCATTCACCAAGGGCTGCAGGCCCAGGGAGGACCCTAAGACAGAAAGACATTTGAGACACTTTTCCTCATCTTGTAAGTGAGGTTTGATGGGGACAGTGGTACCACCTTCACAGGGTTGCTGTAAAGAGCAAAAGAGGGCATGCATGTAAAGGGCTGAGCCCTGTCCCACTGGCTCAGGGGAAACCCAGGGCAGAGAAACGTACTGAGCACTCCCCAGCTCAAAGGGTTCCCAGCCTTCGTTGTCCACCTATCGGAGGCGGCGTACACAGTGTCCTATAGCAATTAAGAACACAGACCTGGACAATCTACTGAAACTCTCGCAGCCTCAGTTTCCTTGTGAGATAAAAGGAGTTGCTAAGGCCTTCCCACAGGGTTGCTGCCAGGATGAAATGGAAAAAACTCTCAGCACAGCTTCTGGAAAGGCTCAGCCAAGCCCCATAGCTACAGGATCCTGAGCTTACAGTGGGCATCTCTGGGAGGGGGGGCCACCAGACGCCCATGCATCCAAACAGCAGACAGTACCCTGTGGCCATTGCCCCCGCGGTGTGGTGCAGCGATAGTCAGGACACCTGGGTCTGGCCCTGGCTTTGCCCCTTTCTAGCTATGTGACTCTAGGCAAGCCACTTCCCTTCTTAGGCCGTCTATTTCATCCTCTGTAAAACAGAAGCACTGTATTTTCCTTTTTGGCAGCAGAATCCTTTCTTCAAACAAAAATCTTATGTAAGATGTCAACTCCATATATAAAACAGACAAAAGCAGAAGCTCATTAGCATAATCTTATTTGAAAGTCTTAAGTTTTAACAGTCACTCATAAAGTCAATCAGTGAAGACAATGAGCTGTTTGACTAACACAAAAATTGGGAAAAACAGGATTAGAGCTGACAGGGGCGGCCATAACATCAGCCTGAGCATCTCATTTGTTTCTCAAGTTTTTTGGTTGCACGATATTGAGAAAATCCTGGCAGAGGTTCTCTCTGAGAGTCTGTACAAAAAAGGGCTAATGAGGCACCTCAAGGTACTCACTGAAGGTGTGTGAGAACCGTGGTCAAGGTTTGATTTGTAGCAATTTGGGGGGGTGGGTATTTTTTTAATCATTAAACTCTGCAAACCTGCGGGCCACCAGAGCACCACAGAGCAATATGAAAACCACTGGGTTAGGTAATCGTCACCCCACCACCCATGGGGCTTTAACTTCATGTCCTCTCTCATTCCTGCAGCTCCAAGGCCAGGCTGGTCACCAACAGCTCCCCCCAAGCCTTCCCCACCCCCTACCCTTGGCTCCAGACCCTCCTGCCTCTACCCCCCCACACTGGCCTTACACCCCAGCTGGGCACACCTGGGTACTGCAGGGGGATGTCGATCTTGGGCCCGATGACGTAGTGGCCTTCCTCCAGGGTGTGGGCAGTCACTGTTGTCCACTGGCGGCAAGAGTGGATGAGCAGGATGTCACGCTCACTGACGCCCTCGGCATACTCCCCTGGGCGGGGGGGCAGCAGAGGAGGAGGGAAGAGAGGATGTTAGGAGGGACAGAAAGAACAGGCAGGGTGACCTCCTCACCAAGCTACTGCACTGGGACAGCCCCCCACGATCCCTGTCCAGGCCAGCTATGCTCAATGGGCAGGCGGGCTGCCAGCTGTGGCCTCAGGGCTGTGAGTCAGACCCCATGCATCTCTCGTGCTCCAGCTCCCCATGGGTCCACGGCAGCCAGCCCAGCCACCATTCCTCATCCCTCATTCAGTTTGGGCCCCGCTGTTCCAGGCCCTGTGTTAGAGCCTGGGGGCTCCCAGTGGATGAGCCCAGCCCTGCCCTCCAAGAGTGCTAAGGCCCACGGAGAAGTGGGAAGACATGTGAACAGTAAAACCAGGGCCAGTTTGAGGCACTGGATGGAGGGTGTCTGGGGCACTCACAGCAGGGAGCAGCAGACTGGCTGGGGGTGGGGTAGGAAGGGAGGCTTCCCTGAGCAGGAGACCAGCAGAGTTCACACTAGCCCCTAAGTTAGTGCCAGGCCAGGCAAGGGGGGCCTTGTTGAGGGAGTAGACAGGGCTCAGAAGAAGCTTCTGTTGTGGGTGCCAGCTGGGAGGGCTCCCCCAGAGCCATGGGTCACTTGGGTCAGGAGAATGGCAGGGCTTAGAGGTGCTGATTCCTAGCTCTCCAGCACAGCCCCTGTCTTTTCACCCCATGCCATGGGCAGGCTCCTGCATTCAGGGGACCTCAAAGGAGGGGAATAAGCCCTCAGACACCCTAACCCTCTCCCAGGCCCTTCATCCTCGCAGCTTTTGGAACATTGTAGGAGGGGGATTTAGAAGGTGGGAGGATGGAGGGGGGCTGGAGGGCCTAGTCTTGGTACAAGCTGCACTGGGGCAGATGTGTTGGGAAGGGCCTGGGCCCCCCCCAGGCTCCAACCCCGGCAACAGTTTCCAGGGGAGCAGAGAAGCTGGCCCAGCTTCCAGGAGGCTGGTGGGCTGTCTCCTGGCTGCAGCTGGTGGGCAGGGTTGGGGTGGGGGATGCCTTCTTCCCAGCCTCCTCAGGCACAATTTACTAAATTCCTGCCCCCTAACCAAACAAGAAATGGTTCACCCTGTTGCCTTTGGGTGTGTGTATACTTGGTGTGCGTATGTTTGTGTGTGTTGGGGGGGGGGTCGTTCAGGGCCTGCAGGAGGACCTGACTCCCACTGTGTATGGGGGGTGAGGTCTGAGCCTTCCTCCCCAGCTCCTCACCTCCTGGGGCAAAGGAGATGAGCTCGCCTAAGCCCCAGTCCACCCTTCTATAGGGACACAGGCCACAGTGACACTGGCACACAACAGCCATGGGTTATGGTCACCAACAGTTGAGCCACCACAGCTATCTGGCCCACAGTGACAGGTTCTTGTCCCCAGCAAGACAACTCAGTCCTATGGTCCACTAAAAGGTTCCTCCCAAATGCTCAGCCACCCAGGAACCTTTAAGGGACACACATTTTTATTCACATTCACACTTGAGGGTGACCATGGCCACACACTGTCACAGACAGTTGAGTCATCAATCACACCAGTCGCTTACACCCTGATCATTCATTCAATCCATGTATACTTGTTAAGCAGGATGAGCCTGCAGCCCAGTGGGAAGACAATAAATGGCCATTCTAATGGGGCACGCAGTAGGAGACAGCACTGGGATGCCACGAGGTGTCAAGGGAGCCCAGAGGAGCCCCTACGCAGGCTGAAAAGCTGGGAGAAAACGCCAGGGGAGAGATACCACAGAGGATGCGCGCGCGCGCACACACACACACACACACACACACACACACACACACACACACACACAGAGCCTTGCTGCTGACACTGAGTCTCAGGATCACACGCTGACGATCTGGTGAGCCACAAGGTACCCATCCCGACGGCCCGGACGTGGGCGCTCCCAGAGAGCCTGCTGCCGGGACGCATTGAAGTTCACTGTGCCCACTCTTCGCCGCTGCGGGTCAGAGGAGGGGCTGCCGGGCCCCACGGAGCCGAGCGGAGCCGGCTGCCGCGGGCCCCATTAGCATTCCGGGAAGCGTGTGTGCCAACGCGGGCCAAACCCCTATTCTTCTCACACACAAAACCCCCGGCCGGGCAGCCAGCCCCGGCTCCTGCCCCTCCCCCAGCCAAGCAGCCCCCTTCCCCCAAACGGCCCCCCCACTCCGTACAACCTCCAGGCATCCCCTCTCGGGCCCCCACGCACTGTCCCCTCATTAGAGCCTCCCGGGCCCCATGGAGAGGCGTGGGGGAGAGCCGGAGGTCCTGGGGGGCACGCCCGGCGGGACTGGCCGCTCCCTCGGGTTTCTCCCGAAGGTAGTCTGCCCGCCCCCGAGTACCAGAGGCTGCCCCTGGGACGCGAAGGGAGGGTGCGAGGAGGGTCACAAGAGAGAGGCCAAATGGGGCTGGGGGTCACGGCGGTGAGAAGATAATCTGAGGCACAAGAGATGCGGGAGGATCGAGGTGAGAGGCTGGAGACAAAGGGAAAGAGGGGGTGCAGCTGAGGCGAGGGTCCTGAGGGGTGCGGGGGAAAGGGGTGCGCCGACGGGGCGGGCGCAATGTCTCGGCAGCGCTTCGAGCTCCACTTGAGCCGGAAAACTCCGCTCCGGCCCAGGCTCCGCTTTCGGTCCCTGTGACCGTCCGTGGACCCAGGAGGAGGCAGACCCCGGCTCACGGGCCCCAGGTCTCGGTGGAGGCGCGCCGGAGCAGCGCGGAGCCCGCACGGGAAAGCGGGGAGGGTGGGAACCACATCCTCATGGTCACGCTCGCACCTGCCAGGAGAGTCTCCGACTTCCCCTCGGATTCCCCAACTCCCCTCCCCAGCAGCCCGGGTACCTGGCCCGAGGCAGGCGAGCGTGGGCAGGCGGCAGCGGCTGACGATGAGGTCGAGCGGGAAGGCGCCCATGCTCCAGCGCAGGCCGGCCAGTCCAGCCGCCAGCTTCTCCATGGCATGGGCGCCCCCGGGGCCGCCGTCCCGGGGCCCCGACGGCCAGTCCCGCGCGGCCCGG